ATGCATGCCATATTGACTACAGCTTTCTTGAATTTCCTTAAATACAACATTATCACAGTCATCCAATTAGCTCTTATAGAATTTCTATCATTTATCGCTTCCTGTAAGGCTACTGGATATATTAAGATTGGGTTTCTTAAGACCTTAGACTGTTCCTCTTTAATTTTATAATGCAATGATGAATTCTTGTTAAATCTGTTAAATTCCTCTGTCTGAATTTGAATATCCCTATGATCTGCTTTAATAAGTTTTTCTAAGGCCTGCATCTTGGCACTCATATCAATCAACATTTTTAGAGATAAACCAAGAATCATCAAAGTGGAAACAAAGATTATCAAAACGATAATTAACAGTATGTTAATCCTGGTTAAGTTAATCATTCCTTCATTTGACTGTTCCATTTTTAAATCATGCATTGTGTAATCATAAAGAGACCAAACTCTCTCTATTGTAATTGTGTTTTCCATTTTCAATGTGGGGAAAACTCCCTCTTTTAACTAATTCCTCCCTTTAAGAATTCCCAATCATCTCACCAAATCTGCCAATGAAAATGCAGATGACCGTGAAGTGTGAAGCTGACTGTTGCTGCACAGAGCAATGGAAGCCTGAGTGGGTTTCAAGGCAGGTACCTAGTTTGTCAGCAGCCCAAGGGGGGAGTCCAGGGGTGTCTAGTGAAAGCCCTGTAGCCCACTGGGAGAAAAGAAGCCAAAGAGCCAACCACCTGCTTAGGAGCATAAACGCTTGCAGTGTGCTGGAGAGAGATTGCAACGGAAAAATTCCAGACTCAGAGACTTGGGGAGAAACAAAAGGAAACTAGCCTACTGGGTAGAGACTCCAACAGAAAAGCTCCATGTGCAGCTCTGTCCTGGGCCTGGTGGCTTCAAAGCCACAGGTAAGCAGCTTTTTCATGAATCCATACTTTCATATTGGGCACCAATTTGTAACACAAATAATAAAAACTGAAGATCAGAGAAGCAAAGCAGCCAGCCACTAGAGAGTTCTCACCTCCACTAATGCTCAGACTGAAGTGGCAATCCACTGAAGCTCAGATTGCATCTCTAGACTACACTGCTCTCCACCAAGCCTCAGAATCCTAGACTGCAGTGAGATCCTATCCCCTGCCTTATATTCCTCTCTGGCTGGCTATATCACTCCTTTCTCTATCTTTCTAGTGCTGAGATTAAAGGCATTTGATCTATTATTCTTTTAGACTGATTCACCTTTTGTAGCCCTGGGTGGCCTTGGACTCACAGAGATCTGCCTTACTCTCCTGAGTCCTAGAATTAAAGGTGCCACCACCATCCAGCCTCTATTGCTATGGCTAGCTTTGAATTCAGATCCTTCAAATAAGCTTTATTAAATCATGAATAACATGTCACCATAGGTGTGTGTATAACTCAAAGAGTAACCAAGAAGGACTTTTCATTTAAACGTATGACATTAAATGCAAAAAGATGATTAGGCCTTTGAAGGCAAGGCCAGTGCCTTTGGAAGAAAGATCTGACATACAATTAATATTGAACCTCATGACCATGATGATACATGTGTAGGAGAGGCGATTTCAAGAGATTTGAAGAAAAATGGAAATGTCAACTGTTTTAATTGTGGTGAATAAGGTCACCTTAAAAGGGATTGTAAATAGGGCAGTCCTAGAAACAATGCTTTTTATCAACATAATCCATACAGAACACTTCTCCCTTCTGGATTACGCAGAAGGTGTGGCAAAGGCAGACACTGGTCAAATACATGTAGGTCAACAAAAGACATTTAAGGTAATACTTTGACTTCAGGAAACTCCTCAAGGGTCCTCTTGCCTCCTCCTATGCCAAATCTGACTCAGTCCTTTTCTGTCACCATGGAAACTCCTTCCTAGAGCAATTAAAGAATCTACCGCATATTGTAAGAAACCATACTCTTCTGAATGATAGAAGATCTTTAGAAGATAAAACAAAACTTTCAGGAGAAACCATAAATCAAAATTGATAAAGATTAGATTAGGAACTTTCCCAAACTTAGGGTTGGAGAAGGTTTTTGTTTTTGTCTTTTCAGGAAAATAATAACAAACATCTTGAGTTTAAAGACCTTTGAACAAGTAAGCATTCAAAGAAGATGGGAGAACTATTTAGAAAACATTAATGCGAAAGCAATAATCTGATCTAATGTAATTTCTGAAGTCTCAAAAAAGAAGATGACAATTCCACCAGGACTATGATAACACCATTTAGCTGAACAATGCCATCTAAAGATCTGCTTTGGACTATGCTGCTTAGAACAATTTCAAGGTGGCCAGCTGAAATGACCCAGCCCCACAGACACTGCCCAGAACAGTTTCAAGATGATCCAGCCTCATAGACACTGCTCAGAATAATTTTGAATTGTCTGGCTGAGACGATCCACCCTCACAGATACTTCCTAGAACAATTTTGAGGTGGCTGTCTGAGGTGACCCAGCCTGACAGACTACTTTAGCCAGGACTTGAGACAAGCCCTGCACAATTAACCCCAAGTTTTCTTTTCAGGATCCCCTAAAGATGCCATTGCCTGAGACAGTAGGAAGTAACTTTAAGAACATGACACACACATTCCAAACAGGTGAAGTGGGTATCCCTACTCTCATATGGTGAGGTGGGTGTGTGGGCCCTTGGCTGGAGGGTTCTATTCTCTAGGCCCTAATCACTCAGGGCATTCCAGCACCCCATCTCTACTCATCAAAGCCCCAGAAATCAGGGACCAGTTTCCCCACACCCCAAACCATCCCCCATGTCATCTGTGACCATTTGAACTTTGGCTCCACTTCCACATGGAAAAGATCCTACTCTCTAGGCCCTAATTGTCCAAGGCACACATCTTGCCACAACCCTGCCCACCGAAATCCCAGAAACATGGGGGCAACTTCCCAAACCAGTCCCCACAGCATTTGTGCCCACTGAAGCCTTGACCACGTGCCCATCTGGGGAGGAAGAGCAACCACCTGAGCCACAGACCCCACCTACACCAATTGGAGGAAGAGGCCCCCTGAAGCACAGGCACCACCTGCACTGAATGGAGGAAGAGATGGGTAGATGACAGTGTAAGAATACATTCAACAACATAAAGAGCAATCAGAAACTAGTAGTTCTACACCAGCAAGACCTGAACATCCCAATGCAGATGAAACAGAAGAAGATGACCTTAAAAATAACTTTATGAAGATAAAAGAGGTTCTTAAAGAGGAAATGAAACACTCCCTTAAAGAAATAGGAGGAAAAGACAAGTGAAAATAAAATGAAGAAATCATCAAATCCCATAGACAAAGCAAAGAAAGCTAAGAAAAAAAAATCAAACAGGTGAATGAAAGAGTTCAAACAGTTCAAGACTATTGCAGTGATATCTTTTCTGCCCAGTTGATCATGTTCTACATGCAATGAAATTCTTAGTGTTTATTTATTTATTTATTTATTTATTTTATATAACCAAGTCCATTTAAATGAAAACAAACATTTATAGACAATATTTGGGAATTTGGGCGTCGTTCTTTCCAAACTACTTCCTGCTGGTAAGGGGTGCTGACATGGGGGATTCTAAGAAAATGCAGAAATCCTGGCTGTAGTCTGTAAGGCTGCTTTGTCCAGCTGTTTTGAATGTAGGATCACCTGGTACTCTTTTTCAGGCGGTCTGGCTTGATCAAACCACATTAGTCTGGAAGGAATTCACAGCTTTTCATTTTTTGTGGAAACAAAAATAGAAATCCTTTTCCCCAGTAACTTGTCCTTGAACTTAAATTTTGGAGTCAAAGCATTTTTTTTAATTTAATTTATTATTTTACATGTCGATCCCAGTTCCCTCTCCCTCCCAGCCTCCCTCCATCATTCCCTCCCTTCCTCCTTCCCTCCCTTTTACCTTCTCTGTCCTCTCACATGCACCCTAACCACCCTCCCCTCCCATTCCCCCACCCCAATTCCATATGTAGGGGAATGCCATCCAGTTGGGGTCATGTAGATCTGACAGGTCATGTGATGTAGGGACTAGGGCTTCTCTCCTGTCTCTAGATTAATGCAGTTATACCTCCATGGGGGATTTTTTTGGTTAGTCTTTTCCTCTATTTCTTCCAATTTTTGTTTGTTTTTTCTTCCATTTCTTTAAGGGATTTTCTCATATCATCTTTGATGGCCTCTATCATTTTCATGATATTGTTTTTTTAGGTCATTCTCTTCTGCTGCTTCTGCTTTTGTGTTTTCAGGTCTTGGTGTAGAGTCCCTGGATTTTGGTGGTGTCATATTGGTATTTCTATTGTTGAATGTGTTCTTGTACTGCTATCTTCCTATCCTTTCTTCCAGTGGGTGCAGGTGGGGACTCTTTTTCTCTTTTCTCTTCTCCTGGTGGGTGTAGGTGATTCAGGACTTCAATGTCAGTAATTCTGGATGATCTAAGCTGTTTTAGAGGTCTCTCAAGCAGAGGGCTCAGCAGGATGAGGGGAGGGCAGGCTCTGGATGAACAAAGTGAACTTTTCAAGCTTTGAAGAATGTAATAATTCTCATTCGAACATGCAGTATCAGAGAATCAACCCACTGGAGAATTCATTCAATAAACACCATGGAAATAGGTAAATTTGGATTTTATGACTGAGAACATTAAAAGAAAAAATTCAAAGCACATACTCTTTGTAGTGAACTCACACAAAGTCACACATTTAATTCAGATGGAGGTAATCCTATGATCTGGTTAGATTTATGTAATTTAACTCAGTATATGAGTTCATAAATAAAAACAAATCATTACTTAGATGAAAATATATCAAAGTATACTAATAAAAAGAATAGACTTGTTTACTTTATGTCCAATAAAAGATGGGCAGTATCAAACTGGAATGATTTGGAATTTTCACTATTGAGCACTGGTTTACTTGAGTTGGAAACAACAAAGGAAATGTGAGCAAATCCAGAGAGCTGGTGATGGGAAGTGGTTTGGGATAAAAGGGAAACCTGAGAAGAGACTCACAATATCTTTAATTCCTGAGTAGATATGGATCATTGTGTGAGGTGTCCAGAAAGTCACTATGCAAACACAGAGCAGAGCCACTGCCTCCAGAAGGCAATGACCTTTCTGTCCCATGAAGACCCTTTGGGGATGGCACTCACCTGCTTGGCCCTGGGCTTCTCTGCACTAACAGCTGGTGTTCTTGGTATCTTTGTGAAGTACCACCACACTCCCATCATCAAGGCCAACAATCGGTCTCTCACTTACATCCTGCTCATCACTCTGACCTTCTGTTTTCTCTGTCCCTTGCTCTTCATTGGCCATCCCAACACAGCCACCTGTGTCCTGCAGCAGAGCACATTTGCAGTTCTGTTCACAGTGGCTCTCTCCACAGTCTTGGCCAAAACCATTACTGTGGTTCTGGCTTTCAAGATCACAGTTCCAGGGAGAATGGTGAGGTGGATAACGATATCAAGGGCTCCTAATTACATCATTCCAGTCTGCACTCTTATCCAACTTGTTCTCTGTGGAATTTGGCTGAGCACCTCTCCTCCCTTTGTTGACTCAGATGCTCACACTGAACATGGCCACATAATTATTATATGCAACAAGGGCTCTGCTATTGCCTTCCACTCTGGCCTGGGATACCTGTGCTCCCTGGCACTTGGTAGCTACACCATGGCTTACCTGTCCAGGAACCTGCCTGACACATTCAATGAGGCCAAGTTCATATCTTTCAGCATGCTGGTGTTCTACACTGTGTGGGTCACCTTCCTCCCTGTCTACCACAGCACCAAGGGGAAAATCACAGTTGTCATGGAAGTCTTCTCCATCTTGGCTTCTAGTGCAGGACTCCTAGGTTATATCTTTGTCCCCAAGAGCTATATTATTTTGTTCAGACCTCATAGGAATGTGCTTCATCATGTCAGGAACAAAGCACATTCTAGAGGAAAATTGATTATACAGTTTAATCCTTATTTTTCTTAATTATATAGAAGCCTTTAAGCCTATTTAGATGCAATCCATTTGACAGATATAATATAGCAATGTAACGTTTACATTTATTGGTTTCATTTATTAATGAATTCATCTTTATTCTCATCTTTAAATATTTTTACATATTTCTTTAAATTAGAAAGCTTTGAGAAATATGCATTGTATCTGGCAAATAATATTAAAGATGAATAAGATATGTGTTAATTCTGCACCTCCTCAACATTGCATAATTTTACATTTATAGCACCAACTGTTTTCATATGTATCCACATGTTTTTGATGCTTTGATGTATTTCCTGGATTCATCATGCTTATATTTCATGTATACTTTTATATGAATAAAAAGAATATTTTATAAATAAATATGAATTTAACATGAAGGAATTACTCTGCCAAATTATTACATAATGAGCTGCATACTAAAGTAGAATGATGGCCAATTATTTCTTTTTTTTTAAAGGAATATAAAACTATTTATTGACCACTGTTCACCATTATTTACAATAAAGTAAATATACAGTTAGATGACATTCTGATACTACAAAGTTACTTTTCTGGCTCACTGAACCAGAACCCAAATACTGAAAAGATTGATCCTACCAGTAAGGAATGAGTCAGGGTAAAGAAAAAGCATGCAAGTCATTAATTTATATTACCAAATTTTGTTCATTTATGTCAGTGGGTCTGAAATTGCCAACATCTTTTCTAACTGTATTACATTTCTACAGCAAACAGATATTCCATGAATCATAACCTTTTAGTAGATTTCAACTTTCTACAAAGGAATGGTTCACCAGAGGAACCTTTACATGCCCACTTACGTCTTTTTGTTTGGTTTTAAGAGACAGGGATTCTCTGTGTAGTCCAGGCTGACCTACTACTCTAAATCAGAGATCCATCTGCCTTCAGAGTGCTGGGATTAAAGGCATGTACAACCACACCCAGCTTAAGTCATGTTATTATACTAAAACTTTGTCTAATTCCATTTTCTGAAGGGGAGTTTGTTAACAACAAGATTTTGTAAATAAATGACTGTATGTGATATTACATAAATTCTGATGCGCTTGCTGTAAAATTATCCAATAAATTATAGAATCACCTACTCATAATCTGAAAGGTTATGGTTTCAGGAAAACGTTCACAATGATGGAGCCTCATCAACACATTTTCTTTCATCTATGGTTTTTGAGTATTAAAAAAACAAGAAAAAACAAAAAAGTATGTGTCTTATGCATAACACACGAATACAAAGGAAAAAAAAAAAAAAACCAAACCCCAGAATGGTCCTTCTATGTCTCAGTTAAAAATAAGTTCTGGTTGACTACTGACTGTAAGATCTCCCCAGCGTTTAAGAAAAGCTGTTCTTCAAAGCTGAGGAAATACAACATGGTATCAAATATTCTATTGTGAAAGGAAGCAACTATAGAAAGCTTTTATTTGCCCAAAGGAATCAGTGTCTTTTGACGCAGAACAAAAACCAAAAATATCCCAACTACTATCCATACTTTCAAAACCAGCATATCAAACTCGATTTTCATTAGAACGCTATTTTTCTACACTAGTAATTCAAAACCCAAGATTCAGATTTTATATATATGTATATATATAAATATATATAAAAATGCAAACAATTATTGCGCCTCATCTTCTGGACAAGAATGCCAAGTCAGCCTCTCCTCATAAAAGGCAATGACAATCTGAGGACACTTCATATTTGCCTCCTTTGCCAGCACCAAGTCTGCCTCATCTGAGAACTTCCATTTCATGAGAAACATTAATTCTCCACTGCTGTCCGTAGCACCAATTATTCGTTCAGGATCAAGACCTCTGGCAAAACCCCTTGGTTTGTCAGCAGCATCTCTCTTCTTCTTTGATTTGCTATCATCAGATTCACTGTCAGATAAAGATTTCCTTTTTGTACCATCTTTTTCTTTACCAGCTTTTTGAGAATTAAGAAATGCTTCAATTAACTCTGGACAATCTAAATTTTCTTCTGGTTCCCAAGTATTATCAGCATCTGTGAACCCCTTCCACTTGAGGAAATACTCCACCTTCCCGTTCACTACACGCCGGTCCAGTACTTTTTCTACAACAAATTCTTCAGGCTCTGCCTCTTCAACTTTTTTACTCTTTCCATTCTGTTTCTTTCCCATTTTTTGCAATGTAGTTTTATTGGAGGCCATTTTTTTTTTTAAATCGAAGACTTGAAGAGTTCACCGCTCAGACGCTCCGCGCCGCCGATCCTGCAGAGTCTCCCCCCAATTATTTCTTAATAATTACACAAAGTAATATATCAGGAATAAAATACTTACCCAAACAGACAATTACATGAAACTTTCTTTAAGTCTGTGAAGGAAGTGAAATACATAATGAGGGAGGGTCTAGGCCCTTCCCCAAATGATTTGATTGACTTTGATATTCCCTCATTGAAGGCCTCACCCTCCCTGGGGAATGGGTGGGGGATGGGATGGGGAGTCTATTGGGGGGCATGGGAGAATGGAAGGTAGAGGGAACTGGATCAATATGTAAAATAAGAAAAAATATTAAAAAGGAATTATTTTTAAGGAAATCTGAAAAAAAGAAAGAAATACCCCATGATAACCAGTTATGTAGAACTTGTGCCCATTTCTATCTTTGATTACAGATAGCTAAACAGTTTGTGTACTTACTGATTCACAATTCAATTTTAATAAGTTGCTCTATATTCTTTTGACTGAAACTGCATTTTGTGATTCCTGAATATTTATGAGTACCAATCTCTTCATATTTTATCCTTAATTTTTTTTGAGACAGTTTCTCTGTGGCTTTGGAGGCTGTCCTGGAATTAGGTCTTGTAGGCCAGGCTGGTCTTGAACTCATAGAGATCCGTCTACCTCTGCCTCCTTAGTGCTGGGATTAAAGGTGTGCACCACCACTGCCAGGATAAATGTTTTTTTTTAAAATTAATTTATTTTTTACATTCCAATCCCAGTTACACTCCCTCCTCTCCTCCTGCTTATTCCACCCACCTCCCACCTGCTTTTCAGAGATGGTAAGGCCTCTTTTCAGAGGTCTACTGTCTGTCTCATCATATCATTGAGGCAGGACCAAGGCACCTCTCTACCCCGACACCCTTGTGTCTAGGCTGAACAGGGTATCTCTCCATATAGAATGGGCTCCATTAACTCAGTTTGTGTATTAGCATTAGATCTTGGACCCACTGTCAGTGGCCTCATATATTGTCCCAGTCACAATATTGCCACCTGTATTAAGGGAATCTTGTTCAGTCTTATATCAATTCCCCATTTGTCAGACCTGAGTCAGTGATCTCTCACTAGCTCAGATCAGCTGATTATGTGGGTTTCACCATCATGGTCTTGACTCCTTTACTCATATTTTTTACTCCTCCCTCACTTTGATTGTACTCCAGGAGCTTGGCTCATTGATTAGTTGTGGATTTCTGCACCTGCTTCCATCTGTTTCTGGATGAGGGTTCTAGCTTCTCTGTGGTTGTGGATGATAGGCTGGGTATCTTTTGCTTTATCTCTGATATCTACTTATGTGTGAGTACATTTCTGGTTCTGGGTTACCCAACTCATCACTCAGGATTTTTTTTTTCTAGTTCTGTCCATTTGCCTGCGGGTTTTAGGATGTCGTTGTTTCTTATTGCTGAGTAGTACTCTGATGTGTAAATATACCACATTTTCTTTATTCATTCTTCAATTGTAGGGCATCTAGGTTGTTTCCAAGATCTGACTATTATTAATAATATTTTTATGGACATAGTTGAACAAATGTTCTTGTGGTGTGAATGTGCCTCCTTTGGGTATATGCCCAACAGTGGTATTGCAGGGTATTGAGGTAGGTTAGATAAGAAATAAGAAGAGTCAGAATTGTTCCCCAAAGAATGACACATGATATATAATTCAATGTGTAATTCTTTTGGGAACAACAATCATAACTCTTGTGTAATGTGCATTTGCATACATGTCTAAGAACCTACTGCAGTGTGCCTTTTCATTTATCAGTAATGAGTCTCTTTGTAGTTCATAAGCTCTAAACTTTCAAGAATGAGATAGAGGGTAAATAATGTCAGTCACAATATTTAAATTAAAAACAAAGCCAAAATGGTACAGTGGAAAAAGGAAAACCTCTTTAACAAATGGTGCTGGCATAACTGATGTCAACACGTAGAAGACTGCAAATACAGCCATGTACATAGCCATGCACAAAACTCAAATCCTGAGAATTTCAAGATTCCATTGTTTTTTCCCACTGAGTAGTACTCTATTGTGTAAATATACCATATTTTCTTTATCCATTCTTCAGTTGTGGGGGCATCTAGATTGTTTCCATGTTCTAGCTATTACAAATAATGCTGCTATGAACATAGTTGAACAGATGTCTTTGTTGCATGGATGTAGATCTTTTGGGTATATGCCTAAGAGGGGGATTTTTGGGTCCTGTGGTAGACTGATTCCCATTTTCCTGAGAAACAGCCATACTGAACTCCAAAAATGGCTGTAAAGTTTGCACACCCACCAGCAGTGGAGGAGTGTTCCCCTCTCTCCATATCTTCTCCAGTCTTTGGTGTTTTGGATTTTAGCCATTCTGATAGGGGTAAAATGGTATCTAAGAGTTGCCTTGATTTGCAGTTTCCTGATGGCTAAGGATGTTGATCACTTTCTTAAGTGTCTTTCAGCCATTTTGAATTCCTCTATTGAGAAGTCTCTATTCAGTTCTGTACCAGATGGCAAATGGATGGAACTAGAAGAAACTATCCTGAGTGAGGTTGCCCAGTCACAAAAAAGACAAACAGGAGCCCTCATCTAGTAGCTGATTGAAACAGAATCAGACACCTACAAATAAACACTGAGCTGAACTCCTGGAATCCAGTTGTAAAGAGGGAGAAGTGATAAACAAAGGGGTCAAGACCAGGCTGAAGAAACCCACAGAGACAGCTGACCTGAACAAGGCAGATAGCAAGGAAACCAGCATAGGACTGACCTAGACCCCCTGAATATGGGTCTCAGTTAGAAGGTCTGGGTAGTCTATGGGACCTCTGACAGAGGAACCAGGATATATCCCTGGTGCACAAAAGGACTTCAGGAGAACATTCCCCATGGAGGGATGCTCCCTTAGTCTAGAGACAGGAGGGAGGGCCTAGGCCTTACCCCAAATGACTTGACAGATTTTGATGATCTTTCCTGGAAAGACTCACCCTCCCTGGGGAGTGGGTGGGCAATGGGATGGGATGGGGGGAGGAGGGAGAACTGGGATCAATATGTAAAATAAGAAATAATAATAATAATTAATTTTAAAAACTCAAATCCAAGTGGATCAAGCATCTCAACATAAATCCAGCTACATTGTACCTGAAAACACGAGGAGTCCAAGGAAGTTTGCATCAAGTTTTCAGAATTAACTGACAATGGTCTAAGGCAAGGTCACAGTCCTGTAAGGAGGGAGGACCTGAGAGCATATTACATCTGGGATGCCTTTTGCTGAGGAAGGCCATATGCCTGGTGTGGAGCTGAACCCACATTGAGGTAATGTGTGTTAGAGCAAGCAGACCTCATGTTATGGGATGTCTCAGCATGGACCACATCACCTCAACACTACTCTTAGATATTGGGGGTGGGTCTGAAATTCAGGTTATTTTATTGATGACTGTTGTTTTTTCTCCATCAGTCTTTTGTGATACTGAGGTTCTGGTAATATGGGGAAACTGTAGGATTTTGAAGCATTTGAGCCTCTATGGTGAAAGTCGGCCATTAGTCACAGGTTTTTGAAGGTTCTACCTAATTCAAGCTCTGAACTTCAGTTTCAGGTTACCTGTCCTGTACCATGTGAAGAGTTAATATACTCAAGTCTCACCACCTGTGGCTCACCTGATCCTATTATATGTGTACTTTAATAATGATGGTCTCTCTTAAACACTGGGAAGCAAAACAAGTATATCTTTCATTTCATTTTTCATTTGAGGTCAATTTTTCCTTTCACAGGGAAGAGAGAAGTAACTAAAAACTAATGAAAATTATTTGTTCATAAGTTCATGCAGTCCTTGTATATGTGAGCTGATATGTGTGTTGGGTTCTGTAACATGATTAATAAACATCCAGAGACAGACATTCAGGTTCAAGCTGAAGAGCAGAGAAGCAAAGCAGCCAGCCACTAGAGAGCTCTCACCTCTATCAATGCTCAGACAGAAGTGGTGACCCACAAAACCTCAGATTGCACTGCTATCCACTAAGCCTCAGAATCCTAGACTGCTATGCTCTCCTCAATGTGAATGGAGACTAATTGGCAGTGGCTGGAGACTGAATGCCTAAGACTGACTTTACTTCTTCCTTATATATCTAGTTTTGGGATTAAAGGTATGAGCTCTGTTATTCTTTTAAACTGATTCACCCTTAAGCAGCCCTGGGTGGCCTTGAACTCAGAGAACTCCATCTGCCTCTGTCTCCTGAGTCCTGGGATTAAAGGCGTATGCCACCACTGCCCAGCTTCTATAGGTGACTAGTGTGGCTGACTTTGAATTCTGATCTTCAGTGGCTTTGTTAGATCACAAACAATAGATAACCACAGGATTCTGTTAGAATATTGTAATACTTGAACTGGAGAAGTGTATACCAAAGGAGTACCTTAACTATAAGGAGAACTGGAGAGGTGTATACCAAAGGTGTACCTTAACTTAAAGGAAGGGATCGGAGAGTAAATATATTCTTATAGCTGATGTCTCTCACCACAGTAGTTGCACTTGTTATTATAAGATAAATTTGACCATTGCTTATTTTAATACGTTTTTATCTAGAGCCACAAGTTACCTTTAGGGATATAATATGTCCAGGTGTATTTTCCACCTCCAGATATTTATTAAATAATGAGAAAACACGATCCTATTTGAAAGCCAATTTCCAATTCTTTTATGGCCAATTTTCATTACTTCATGTGCTTTTAAGAAAAGAATTCCCACTATTTCAGTTAATCACTGTAGAAATTTAGTCCTGCTTAGTAATGAGAGGAAAAATTAGTTTTCTCCAACAAAGCCTTACAGGGTACACAAACCACATTGAAGGACAGGCCCATGCCTAGGAATAGATGGCAACACAAAATGAAGTCAATGGTATTTATGAATTTTTCTATTTGTTCGTTTCTTTCCTAATCAGGGTCATTTGTATTTACTTATTTATTTACTGTACATGTCTCTGTGACTTAATGAGATGGGGGAGAAAAAGGGTGTGTTTTGGGGTGTATAGGAAGGTGGAGAAG